CATACCAGGGTCACTGATATCTGACAAATATCCATATAATAAGCAGAAAAAAACACTAAAAGAGGGGAAACACAATGCAATATGAGATTTATACCACCTATGTATTTACAGTTAGGCATGGTAATGAATTGCAGTTTTTGTTTTCAGATCTTGGTAAGGATCAGCAGCTTGCATGTAATACTTACAGTACCAACACTTTCTCTGGCACAGAGTTTGGCGACAGAGCACAGACATCAATGCTTTTCTAATGAGAAGCCAAATTAATTTCTGCGAATGCTGGGAGGGAATGTAGCCCAATGCGTCATGTTTTGCTTTGACACAGAAATCGCTGGTACTTAGATAAGGGAGTGTGACAAGTAGCATATGAAGCAGCACCACAGGGGAGTTGGCAGCTTTAGCTGGTTTGACAGCTTTTCAACTACTGTACATCCGACCCCACAGAACCTTTCCGCTTCTTTCTTATTGAATTTGAACCTTGCAATTAGAAACGGACTTCGTCCGTCCGACATACATACAGTATGAATTTTTACACTTTCGTTTATACAGTACATGTATAAACAAATATTTCATTGTAATAGTCCTCCATCCATTTTTCTAGCCTGCTTTATCCAATCCCAGCAAACAACTGGCAAAAAAAGGCAGGATGCACCCAGGGCTGCGCACAGACTCTGACACACACAAACTCACACCAGGACCAATTTGACCCAATTAACCCAATTAACCTATCATTATGTCTGGAAACCCACGTGAAGACCCCAAGAACATACTGTATATACTCCACACAGACAGCACCACTGGAATTGAACCCAGGGCCCCATCTCTGCAAGACAGCAATGCTAATCACTGGGCCAACTTTAATAATTTGTATTATAAATTATTGTAATATATAATTTAATTCTACATATATATGGACAACAAAGTGCCTGCATGAGTAAAATGTTGCACATTGTGAAGATTTACATAAAAGTCTTTATGTAAGTTTAGAGGCAATTATTGTAGAATAGATACCTTATTTAAACTGTATCCTCTTTGTGAAAGAAGCTTGTATTGTGTGTTACATTGTAATCACCAGCATTTTAGAGAACAATCACTGTGGTTGTCAAAAAATAAAACTGAAACTCCAGCCTTCCAGTGCTGTTGTTCTGAGGCAGCAAAATACTTAGGTAAAATTATATGACAGAAAAAAGCCATCATGATCTGTGTGGATGAAAATTGTAATGTCAAGTTTTTTTAATTCATTTTCTGACTATTTATTTTGTCATACTACTGTACATCTAGTCTTATTCAGAATGTTCATTGAATGATCTCATATCTAAATGTTAACTGTAGAACATATTTTAATCTTTCAGGGCTGGAAAAATAATAGTAGATTCTCCAAACTGGTTTCAGAATATAATCATAAATGTAGTATTACTGTTATTTTTGTTTTCTTTAGCTTTATCAGTAAAACCATCTGTCTTTAATAATGACAGAACTGTACAGATACTAAGAGACAGAACTATCCTCTATGATCTATTTCTGGAATATTTTCATTTCAGCATCTCTTTTTTGAACATAGTCATTTGTCTATGATATCTTACAATTATTTAAAACTATTTCAAAGTGCATCTTTCCATAAATATTCTATCTTCCTGAGTACTAGAAATAAAATATGTTTCCTGTATATTTTAAACTATTATACTGTTGGGTTTTTTTTTAAAAAAAGATTAAATACTAATTCAAATGACCTCTGTAGTCCAGATATTGTCTTCATCAGTTCATTAGCTGTGACCATGATTCTAAAGTTGTAGGAAAACTACGGTTGAGTAGGCTTGAATGAGCCAATGTATTCTCACCCTCCTACTGTATGAAGTTACAATTGTGTCGGTGAGATCAGTATACTTCCAAGTAATTTGGTCTTTTCTGTACACTGTAAAAAGAAGTAATAACGGTGGGTGGAAAGTTATGAATTTCAGAGTGAAGTGTGCACAGTTCTCACTCTGCATTTACCTGTGTACTGAATAAAGCAAATGCATATTGGGGAGATTATAAAATACAAATAACAGAATAATTTAGCATGTAATGCATAATAAGCACACATGAAACCTGACATCTTGATGGTACGAATACAAATGTTAGCTTTGCTCATCTTTCAAACAGAGATTTTTACTTTTTCTTCTTTTTCAAATAAGTTACTTGTTTTTAAGTCACTTTTTTACATCTGACAAGTGATACGTGCATTGAATTTAATCTGGTATATTTGGTGTTGCAAAAACATTCTATATACAGAATACCATATGGAAACAAAGCAATAGACATCAATAAGCACAAATATTAAGGTATTTGTCCTGAGAGAAATGAAATTTATATTGCGCAACAAACACACAAGCAGCAATCAAAACACCTTGGCTGCCTTAATCGGCACCACCATTTTGTGTCTAATTTAGAGATTATTTAGGACTAAACTTTAATTTCTCTTTAGTCCTCAAGGACCAGAGCTTGGTTGAAACTGATTACGTGCTTGATTCTTTAATACCTTACAGGTGCTGACAATCTTTAAAACAGGCAACCTGTCCAAATACAGTATATGAAATTCCTGCATGAGTTTGTATATGATCAGCCCCTAATAAGGGCCTATGTTTTCAAAGAATGCAAGCACTACAGCTTTTAAAGCCAGTATTCTGAGTAATTTCCAGCTGTTTACAGCATAGGCAAAATCAAAATATTTCAAGTGTGCTTCCATCTTTTTCATTAAAATGGGCTTAATGATCTGGGAGGGGGTGGGGGAGCAATTTCTTATTTTAGTGCAGAGTGTTCCAGCATCGTGGCTGCCCTAACATTTGTTCAGAGACACTGTATTTATAGAACATGGTCCTGTTGCAAAGTTGCTTTTCTACAGGTGTCCCTGCTTTGTCAGGTATCATCATTTGAAAGTGTGTGAAAAAAAATGTTTGTAAAAATCACGGGTTTAAAATGGCCATGACCTAAAAGAGGAGATCTTCTGTTTATTCCTTTCATCACATGACTGATGGCTTCTATTTTTAGATGAGTATGTGTCATGAAATTAACAAGCTCTTTCTAACTCCAGCAGAAAAAAGCTGATCTGTTTCTAACGTCATGTGGAAAAACAGTTAAAAACTATAGAAGGAAATGTATATGTGCTGTGGCACCTATTTACCGTGAAAGGTAATTACTTTCTCAGAAGAGGTGCTACAGTAAACCATATGGTAGGATATCATTCATGTTTTTAAATTTTCTCTTAGAAATAAATTTAATACTATTTTATGAATATACATTGGTTTCAAGTTTTTAAGTTTTTTTTAGATAACATAATGTTTGTGCATGTTATTTAAATGCAAGATTCAGTGACATAATTGAGTTTATATTAAAGCCAGGCAATATTTTGGCTTAGGTCAGGCCTCTTAAGGCTGTAACGTACAGTAGATCCAAAAATTGATATTGTTAATGACATTCAGAAATTATTTTTATTTTCAGCTAGCAAAATATCTTTAGTTACATGATTTCACATGAATATTCCCTATTAAGTGAATCTCGAAAGGTACTACAACTTTTTTTACAACAATAACAACAGCAAGTATTCATAGAAAAGTTTAAAACATTTTAGCTTTTTATAAAGTATATAAACTTAATATTGTCAGAATGAGCATGTCAAAACTTTTCCAAAATAGTGCCTGAGTTAAAGACTTTGATGCAGAAAATGTTTATGAAGAAGGTGGAATACTGTTGTGTACTGTTTTTAGTTACCACTGCCAGCCATATACTGTATACAATATATTTATATTCCTAAATTAATTTTGTTTATGATGTTCAGAGGCGATATGATTTTGTTAATTTAATTGTCAGCTACCAAAATTTCCCATTAGTTACAAAATCAAAATTAATATTCCATATTATGTGGATTCAAAAGTGCTAAACAGATTAAATGATCATCTTTGGCCAATGAATCACATAACACAACACATTGTGTCAGAGGTGCCACATCTGTAATAGATTTTAGTCATTGAAATAAGTCTTTCAACTGAAATTGTAATTAGAATAAAATTCTAATGTACTGTACATCGTTAATAGCAGAAAATAGTACTCTTACTAAATACAGGACATTTTAGTTTTAATACATCCATGTAAATTACAGAAACCTGTGGCCATTTTCTTTTCTGAGGACAGTGTTCATTCCTAAAACACCTACTGTATAAATAGTCATTTCTTTAAGGCAAGCAATAGACTAGTAGCAATAGCAGTATTGTTTTTTATACTGGGGGTAAAACACAGTACTACTGAAAAATAATAAAAAAAATGATTGATCACTAGAAACACTACACATCTGGTTTTAAATTAATAATTAGGATTTACCACAGTGAAGCTGAATCCTATCCATTATTTGTACACTATAAGAAAAAGCTATACCAGTATCGCTATGATGTAAAGGCTGTCAACATTATCAATTCTTCATATTAGATTATTTCACATCATAAATATTTTCCTTTATAGTCTTGTGATTAAATTCAAGCCAGTTACTGGTATCGATTGAAGTGACAAAGGTACTGTATTACCACTGTCTAGCTCATTTCTTCTTCAGATATATCTGTTATTCTGTAAATATTATCAATCCACATTAGAGAAATATTCTATGGTAATATGTGATTGTTTTAATGTTTGAAAATAACATAATAAGTGACATCGTAAAATATTATAAAGAAGGCTGTACAGTATATAACATATCTGTTTTTCTTCCCTATATTACAAATGATCTAGGTGTTGAAACTCTTCAGGAACGCTTGGTTCAAGGGTTTTAATGAGAAGTGAGCCCTTTCTGCTTCAGGAGTGTTTTACAGTCCTGATATGGCTTGTTGTCTACACTGTTAGAAGTGCCTCTTGTTTCAGAAGCTGATACCATTAGAACCATTAGTGATATGACACACACCCCTTGAAAGACATCAGCATTAAATATCCTTTCATTGCCTGTCTGCTGAAAGCATTGTTTCCACTTTCTTCTTTTGCAGAGAAAAGGCCTGTTGCCAAGTCCAAGGAAGAAAAAAGTATGTGATTATGTAGACTATACGGTAATATGACTGTAACTAATTTTGCATTCAAGAACTTAAATATATTATCTGTTAATATTCTATCATAGCTGACAGAAGTGGTACTGTATATATTTTATTTTTTTTACTTTTTGCATTTTGTTTCCCTGAAATTAACACAGAACCTTTAAATTCAATTTACCTTAAGCACTGTATTAATAGAAGCATCATGGTTCCTAACAGCATATCATATTAAGATTTTATTAAATATGTGATAAAGAGTTAAAGATTTTAAAAGCCCTTATTTGCCCCAATGCTCACAACCTGGAGGACAACATTCCCTTTCCCCTCTTATTTATTTGTACCACTTTCATTAGCCTCAGTCAAAAGGCTTAAAAGAAACTGTAACCTTGAGTGCAGATGTACAGTACATGATGAGAATCTATTTAACCATCTTCTTACAATGCTTGGTCAGTGAGGAGCCAGAGTCTCTCCTGACCAGCAAGGGGCACAAGGCAGGGGACTGTACCCCCTGGATGGGACACCAGCCCAGCACAGTGCACACACACAAACACACACACACAC